TAAGCAAATGTTTAAGTTACATCAACCATATAATAGATCAAATACACACATACAATCACTTCTACTAATGGCAATGATCCGAAGGACCAGCGACCATATATTGGGAACTTACTAGTCAAGTAACTCTTCTACTGGTTCTACCCTTGAAGGACCAGCGACCACATCATCCCTTTCTGCTGGGCATGAAGTTTCATATCTTTGTAAATTTGGAGGGTTAGTATTATCTCCTAACACCTCAATCTCTTCGACATCAACGTACATTATAAGAAATTCTGTTGCAGCTTGGCATAACAGAAATTCACAAACTTCATCATCCTCAACTTCCGAAGCGACATACTCATTTCCAACAGGCACCCGACATACTAACTTTACAGAATACTTTGAAGGATCGTACTTCAGTGCTCTAAGTATCCTAAATTTAAGCTGTTCTAAGTTGCAATTTCTTGGCACATGAAGGGGTCGACTCCTACCCCCAAAATAGCTTGGCGTGAAATTGGTGTCCACTTTTAATTCACCTCCATACATAAGCACAAAGGTCGCACCACGTCCACTCATTATTGAACCCGTACGTATCACTATGCAAAATGAACAAATTACAAAATACTTAATATTTTAATTATTCTAAAGACTGCTAAAATATAATTAAAATTCATTTAATTTTACAAGTATGATAAGACTTCATTACAATTTAGCTCTTACAAAAATTATTTTAAAGAATTATAACTTAAACAAATAATTATTATATATTAACAAAATTATAGCTTCTCAATTTATAGCAATATACAAAGACTAATTCATTAGATCTACCAAGTTTTAACAAAATCTATGTTCTATATCAACTTATCTCTAGTTCTGTCAAACAATATTATAACTAACTCTAACAAAATTAGACAAACTAATAGATCTACCAAAAAAATTCATAAATAAACTAAAAAGACTCAAATAGGATCATTTTTAACCAAATTTGTACAACACCGATGGCGAGATCAGCGACTAAACATAATAAACCGCAAATACTAAAAATAAAACCTTACCTAAACACTTGATGGCGAGATCGGCGACTCCGAACTTCCCTATGGCGACGGCTGCAGAAGGGGAAAGCGAAGGAAATGAGATCGGGAAGGATTTTGGGAATTAAAGTAGTAGCATAAAGTCGCCCGTTAATTGGGCGACTTATAAGTCGCCCGTTAAACGGGCGACCCACATCATCACCACGTCGGATCTTGACTATTCTAGTCAAAGCATAAGTCGCCCGTTTAACGGACGACTTTGCCTAGTTTTAATTTTTTTTTAAACTTGCTTAAGCTCTTAATATAATTTATAATCATGCTTAGTCTTAAAATTTTTCCTATACGGTATGCTGGCGCCCGAGATGCTGCGGCTCTAGGAGCTTTCAACAAGATATGCTGTCATTTGAATAGTTTCTTAATAATAAATTTTATTTTTTATTTTTTTTTTTATTTTTTTGCCACCACACATTCATGTGGGATATAATAAAGCTTAAAAGGCTTCTAATTCTTTTGCAAATTAAAACTAGAATAATTTAAGCCATAATGGGTATCAAGGGTTCTAATAAGAAAGTACAACACTCAAGAGAAAAATCAAGGGTAAAACATTCAACCCACATCAAAAAATTTTAAGATTCTAACTTCTTCTTCTTTGGCACTCTGTAAGCACCAACAACGCAGGCATGGTCACGTTCAAAAGGCTCAAGAGTAACCTGTTCAAAGGGCTTGAATTGATCAGCCTGCAGTTTCTTCACTTCCTGGGCGAACACTGCCTCAGCAGGCACTGTGGAGTCAATACAGTTCGCCTTGATTGAGATGACAAAATGGCCACCATTTTTGAGGAAAAAAGAAGCATTCAAGCCTAATATTCTTGCCTGATCCGGCTGAGCAACATCAGAGAAAATAACATCCACCATTCCAACTAACATGCGATATTTAGTAGGATGTCTGGCATCCTCAATTATTGGAATGACATTGGTGCGCTTCTTTGCCATGTTTACCAGGTCCCTACCACTCCTATTTGAAAATTCAACAGCATAGACCATACCAGTCGGCCCAACAATATCAGAAACATGTGATACTGTAGTACCTGATGCAGCCCCCAGATAAAGTACCCGAGAGCCAGGAGCAATCCAAATATTGTCAACACCACCAAGTATCGCTGCTGCCAGCTTTGACCTAAATGGATTCCAAACCCTATATTCCACCTTGGTTCCATCCTCATTCTGAACAGAAACACGCTTCTCGCCGTACACGGATTCACCGGAAACCATATTCTTTGTGCAGAGGGCGTCCTCTTTTCCCTTTGCGACGAAAACACCATCATGTCGATGGGGCTGCACCACGACCTTACTTCCGCCCTTCATCCCTCCACGGCCTCCTCTCCCCCTCATACCACCTCGGCCGGCTCCTCGTCCGCCACCGAAGCCACGGCCCCTGCCGCCACCTCTTCCTTCTCCTCTACCTCCACCGCCTCTTCCTCGGCCCCTACCGCCGCCGCCATCACTCCGGCCCCTGAATCCACCGCCTCTTGGAGGTCTCATGGCAGCCGCTCAAGCTCTGAAACAAAGGTTCGGTGCGGGGAAAATCAGGCTAATACATTTTAAATTATATAAGAGGAATAAGAAAAATAAATTAAGACCAACTCACTGAAATTTTTTGCACTTGCCTGAGGAAGAAATGTGAAGTACTAAACTAAGGCTTCGTTTGGGACGATTTTTTTACTGCTTCTTAAAGCATCTTTTTAGTATAAATTTGCGAGGTTCGGTGTTGCTGGATTTGCCAAGACAAAGAGGACCGTTGTGAGCGATGGTGGGAAGAAGATCGGGAATAGGTGCAACGTTTAGCTAGAAGGAGAGAACGAGAGAGGTTATATGTTTAGAGGAAAATATGGCATGGGTTCTTTTTTTAAGGGCCAAGAGGGTAACTGTTCAGCTACTAATTAGAGGAGTTGTCAATAAATACGGATGGATGCCACCAATGCAAATAACTTGTCAAAAACATAAAAAAAGAATTAACTATATTTGATAACCTTTTTTATTTATGAGATAAACCAAATGTGAGGTTCTAAATGGCAATTGGAATAAGGGCCCTAAATGGAAAGGGATAAATATGTAAAAAAATATATTAAGAAAAAAAAAAAGATCCACAAGATAATGGCCATTTCTTTTAAGTATTTTTGCAATTCCAAATTAGACTTTTGAGCCATTAAACATTGGATTATTGATTTTTACCTCATTTTACTTCTCAACAAAAGTATATAGAAAGGAATGGGAATTGTATGAGTGCTGGGTTTCCATCTACCATGTTTTTGTCAATCTATTGCATCTTTTGGAAACCCCTTAACTATCATATGTGAAAATAAATATATATTTTGTAAGTTAAATAATGATCAAATTGTCAATGCCCATTTTATAAAAAAATCTATTTGAACATTCCTTCAGAATATTCTAAATAATCTAGTAAGTTATGGAGCTTAATTGTTATCCAACGAAGAAAATGTTCTACATACATTCAGTCACAAATAAGTCATATTTATAGAGATATCACTATATTTTCAAGATATCTTAATTTTTTAATTAAAGTGGGCATCTTTTTTTTCGAATAAAACCCACATACGAGTACTTTAGGGATCAACAACCCTCTAAAAATACAGCATTTAAAAGAAAACCTACGAGCCTTTGATCCGATCTGAGTAATGCTTCAAGTTTTTGGAAATTAATATGCAACACTGCTGAAGCTGTTGAAGCTGCTGAAGCTGCTAAAGCAAAATTCACTTTCAAAATCATTGAGCAAGCCCCTATTTCTCTTCACTGGGATCATTGGTTTAATAATGGCAAGCTTGGTGATTCTGCTTTTGGTTTTTTATGGCTTAACTCTTCTCACACTAATGAGCTGGTTAATTCTTTCATTTCATAAGGTAATTGGGTTCCCCCAGATCATCTGCCAGTATTTTTTTTTCTGATGAAATTAAAGCTATCACAATTTTTGATAGCTCTACTTATGCTTATTTTGGGAAAATCAGGATAACAACAAGTTTGAGAATTTTTTGCATGAATTTTACTCTCATATGCCTTCCTGCAACGGTCATAATTTCATTTGGCATTCACATCACTCCATAAATAGCAAGGTTACAAAAAATCATGAATGCTAATTAAATTTCTCTTTTTTAGAAACAATATGAAAGTCTAAGTTAGAATTTATAGTTCATGCAATTTTTAATTTCATATATTTTTTATTAAATTAAAAATTTTGATTGATTTGTATGTGCGTATTCTCATAATGTTGCTAAAGAAAATAAATATAATAACTTTGAGACTTATATTGACAATTATAAACTAAATTTATTTTTAAAAAATTAACATTCAAGTTTTATTTATGATAATTTTCTTAATGTTTTATTTTTCAGATCGCAATCATAATTTATATTTGACCACTTTTTAGGAAGATGCTTTTTAGGTTTGGTTGTAAGGTCCATTCAAGGGCCTATATTAATTAAGATTAATTATTATGTGCGGACGTTGAACGCCGTTGCCACGTCACCCCTGTGCTCGGTACCGCGACTCAATACAACTCGGTATCGCGGCTAGGTACCGCTGATACAGCGTATTCTTGGTGGTCTCCAGACGACGTTATGCGTCCGACCCCCGCACAGAATAATTTCTCCTATATTAAAGATTGGAGTTAATTTTTGGACCACATAGTAGTACTTGGTAGATGGCAAAGGCGTTCTATACCTTCATTGTAAAGGAAAAAAGAAGAACTTGCAAGCAATTCTATGGCTTTTAATAAAGAGAATCAGCTTTTGAACAAAATGATACTTTTCTTCTCTTATGGTATGACCCCTTGCATTCAATTCATATTATTCCTCTTCAACCAATTGCAGCTTTTGAACAAACTGTAGCATTTAATTGCTGGACCAATAACCACATCCTAAATTAATTAAAATATACATTGATATAACTTTAAACAATGTAATTCATTAATTACAAAGACAAACTTTTAATCCAAATTAATCACCCAACAATGAGTTCTTTTTACAAACACTTATCATAATGACCAGCTTAATCTAATTTCTGTTAACAGAAGAGTACTCATTATTCTTCATCACGTCAATCCTAGCACTCCTAACCCGATCACGTCTACTGTTCCACCGACGGCGGCGCACCACCGCCCTCGGCTGAATCTTCGCATCACCGGAATTCCAAAATCTATCTTTCTCCGACTCTGCAACCTTGCAGTCAGGAAATACCTTTGGATATCTGAGCTCATCATAACAAAAGCTATATGACATATAATGCTGTCTAAATCGCTGCATGGCAACACGTTTCTCGACGTTCATCGTTGCATAATCAGAAATGGCAGTCTCAGCCGCAGCGAGACGGCACTGCTCGGCCGCCGGCAACTGTTGAATGGGGTCAAGGCGGCAACCCTTCAAGATGAAGTTAGAGAAAGCACTGACAAAAGGTGCGTATTTGTAGTTAACTTTGTATTTACCCCCTGAAGTTGCCCAATTAGAGGCATCCCATATAGTGGCATAGAGCGACATTGGCTTTGATGGGAAGTCGCCACCCATTGCTTCAGTTCTCACCACCTCCCGGATTGGTATCTCATCAATGTAAAATCTGTAAATAAATCTTAAAACATGTTAATTATTTTTCTGTATAAGATTGGTGAAATTAATTTTTTTTTGAACATTTAGACTAATTAAGACAAAGTCATGCAGGCACAATGCACATCATATAATTCAAGACCTCTTAGTTAATAGTCAAATCTCCAAATCAACAAATCCCAACTAATAGATATGGGCGAATCCCCCTATGGGGGGGGGGGGGCAATTGGCCCCCTAAAAATTTAATTTTTTTTATTATATAATTTTTTAGATAATTTGTCCATCTATATATATTTTTAGTCTTTATTATAAGAATTTTTAAGCAATTACCCCAATATAATTAAACGTATTGAATAAATGTGTAATTGTTAGAAAATGATAAACCAAATACAAAAAGAAAAACTAAAGATAATTCATCATTTTATTTATTAATTTGAATTCTAAAAATAGAGTTGTAATTGTCAGGGTCGAACCAAGCCAGGGGACGATGCCCTCTTGGACCCCTCCCCCGTACTTGCGAAGTGCATGTACACCGATCAAGGATATGAACAAATAGGGGTTGAGCCAAATTCAAGGCAACTTCAACATACATTTTGTAGAAATTAAATGATTAATCATCTTTAGCGACCATTTTCTTTTTGTCTTTATTATTTTGTCACTATTGACGCATTTTTTTGTAGCGAAAGGTTGAGTCAAATTTGAGGTAACACCAACAATTATTTGTAAGTTTGTCCCCCTAAAAATTAAGACTGAATCTGCTCCTGCTAGATCAAGATGAGCTAAGTAGAAGGAGATATATTGTGATTGATTATAAAATGTGATAATTATATATATAATGTGACAACCAAGGTGCTTGATGACAGCCCATGAGAAGGACCTTAGCTGGTACTTGGCTTGCATATGGTCAATAGTCTACGTCAAGCTTGCCTGAACTGCATGGCTTTTCCAGGCAAATAATAGTAATATAATAATACATTTCAAATATTTAAAATTAAAGGAATTAGAGCGAGCTCCGTGTCAGAGCAAATGGGCACAACGTTACTAAAAATATTTGAATCAGAACTGTAATTACAGACTTACATGATGGAAGAATTGGTCCAGAGAATAGAGTAATGGTGAGCTTCTGCAGTGGGATCAAAAGGGAGTTGGTAGCGTTCTTCACGGCCGCGACTTGTGCTCCCATTACCATACACATTGGTCTGAATCCGCCATTGTTTTCCCTTGATATTCCCGAGAAACTCAAAGTCCAGCTCGTCGTGATTCTTCTCAAATATATCACCATTAGACATCTGTAGCAACAACATTGGAATACAAGTTTATAAAATAATCATTGATTGAGTAATTAATCATTCATTTAATAGTTAATTAACTGTTATGTTAAACTAATCACAAAAAGTTTTCAATAATTTGAAAACAATTTAATTGTTTAGGTTGACCTCAATTACTGTAACTGAAAATTTCTAAGTTTAGCTCGACTCAAATTCAATTAAAAAATCTTGATATAATTTTTTGTCGAGCTCATCAAGTAATTTCTGGAGAGCCCAAACGACTTGTAAATCAATGGCTTGGAATTCTCTGTTCATTTAATTATATTCAGAAAAATGGAACAGTTAGAATGACCGGATTGAAAAGGAACCCTAGCATCTCAATTTTTTGCAAATATGAAATATTATAGAAAACCGATTTTCCAGAAATCCCGTCTCCGGCGGCCGGAAACCACCACCATCGCAAAAGGGAATGAATAAAGAAACAACGCCGTTACTAACGTAGAATGCAACGACAACACCGGCCGTGTAATCTGACGGCAGTTTGATCGACGCGCTGAACAATCCATGGTAATAAAGAGCCGACGATATGAACCCGGACCCTGAAACGGCAAATGGAGATCAAAACGCCGTTAAAAAGCCGGCGATGGTAGGAAACTGAAGGCGATAATCAAAATCGCTTACCGGAGTGCTGGTTTAGGAGAATCTTGACCGTCCGGCCGTCGGGGGACCGCACGATGTTGCGTTCGCCGAAGAGCGGTGTGTAGCCTCCGTCGAATGAGATCGGTGTCACATTGAACGCCGTCGGTGATGCCACGGCGAAGAACCCCGCCACCAAAACCGCCGCCGCAATCGTCGCCGTCGCCGTCGCCGTCATAGTAAAAATTGTGTGCGTCCGTTTTCTGCGGATTGGAGCAAGTATAAATTAGAGGAGAAGAGGGACGGAGATGGGATTTGTAGTTTGAAGTGAGGGTAGAATCGGAAAAAAACAGTTGCCTTGGAAGAGGTTGGAACGAGACTGTACGCGGTGATGACCTGGTTGCCATTCCAATTTGACCGTCGGATTTGAGCTATTTACAAGATTGACATCATTGAAGCATTTCATTCAGTTATTGATTCAATGAACATGTATAAAAAGAATTTAAGCTCTACTTGAGACTTTTTTTTTTATGCTTCAGAAAGAAGCTTAAATTTTTTTAATTTTTTTAATAGAAAATTATTTTAGAAAACAGTTAGAAAGCCTAAAACTATATTTTTATGTTGGGTGATTTGGATATTTATAAGTTTTATTTAAGATAGTTTTTTTACTGACTTTTAAAATAGATTTTAAATTTAAAATTTATTGAATTATAAATTTTTGCACTAAAAAACTGTTTTAAAAAGCAGTAAGTAATAAGTCCTAAGTGAAGGCTTAGTTTCCTAAATTCACATATAATTGGATCATTCATGTGGACTTCCTTTACTCCAATTTTATTATGATTTATGTCTTTTTAGTTCAAAAAATTTTATTTGATTAAGGTTTTGTTTGGGTCGGCTTCCTTATTGCTTCTTAAATTATCTTCTTAGTAAAAAATTGAAGATGCTTTAAGAAGAAGAATGAAAGTCGTCCAAAACAAAGCCTAAGGTTTGATTTAGGACAGCTTTTTTATTACTTTTTAAAGTAATTTTTTTAAGAATCAATTAAAAAGCCATCTCAAAAGAAGCTCAAGACTGTATATGGGACAACTCTCTTATTACTTTTTAAAGTAAATTTTTATTACAAAATATTTTTGTTTAAAATCACATATATAAACTTTTAACTCAAAACTTTGTGATTGATAACCACACCTTCTAATCAATAAATTATATATAAAAATGAATTATATATATATATATATATAATTTATTAATTGATAATTAAAGATTTTAATTAATATAGGAATCAAGATAAAAATGGGCTTGGAGAGGGCGAATTATTGCGTCCGGTCACCGGATGTATGGACATCCAATCCGGTGACGTCACGTCACTCAAATATACTAGGTCCAGATATATTTTGGTGACGTGATGACACCGAATTAATGTTCTGACGAATCCGAACACCGAACACAATAATTTTCCCTTGGGGAGTCCCATGTACTAGTGCGCAAGGCATAGACCACTTGGGCACTGAAAGGCTGCTCTCGTCTTCTTCTTCTGCTGCTGTATAGATACCGCCATTATTATTCGCTCACGTAAGCGTCCCAATCCTCATCTGTTGGCTAAAATTGAATTGGCGAGTTCCAAGCGTCCAGCAGCTTCACAGTTGGCAGGGCCGAAGTGGGGCCCACTTAGCCGAATGGATGACAATGATCTCATTGAACGGGACGGCCCAGATGCATTCTCAATTTGATCGGTGGTCCCCATTCACTGAGAGCGAGCGAGCGAGTCTTTTTTTTTCCCTCTGATGACGGAGATGTCCTTCGAACCCAAGGCCGAAACGGGAAAGGCCTTCTTCCCGTGGGCCCCACCTACGATGATGCCCAATTGTTATATATATATATTTTGGGGGAAAATTATGATTGTTATAACTACAAAGTTTTATTTTAATTTTTTTAATTAATTTATTTAAATATTTAGATTAACGAATATAAACTCATGCATGACATTCAAAATCTATTAATTGATAGTAAAAATTTATAACCTTTTTTTTTTGTGATTTATGATGGGCTAATAATTTGTCGCAAGTTTCATAGTAAAACGTCAAAATTTGATTTCGAATTCATGATTGATACATGATAAAAGTTGTCTTGATCGAGCGTGAATCTTCATGTATTTGTGAATTGGAAACTTTCAAAATTAAATTTAATGACCATTTAAATTCCTATCTCAACAAACTTATAATCAAACTGAACGTGTCGATGAGACTGAAAGGGAATCAATGATAGACTAATATTATAGAAAATCTAATGATATTAAAATCGGTCCAATCCAAACCTAAATGGGATCAAATCAAAGACTTAAAGCATATTCGAAAGCTTTATTGCATTAATTAGATGATCAAATAATATCCAAATATAACATGTTTATAGTCAAATTGAGCGACTCAACTAGAAAAATCCAACAAGCTCATGATTAATTGCTTCATTATGATATAATTAAGACATTTAAATGCCTAGAAAATGTTCTATGATCAAGGGAATCAATATGGGGCATTTAAAAAGTGCTCCGAATTTGACCAAGATATTCTCCATATTTAAAAAGAATGTCAATCCTAAAATCTATAAATAGACCCCTGCTTCTCACATGAAAGGGGCTTGGACTTTTAGAAGCTAAGATCATGGGCTAGAGACTCAAGAGAGCTTTGAGGCTTGAATAATATAAGAGCTCAACACCGGCACCACCTCCGGTGAACGTTCGCCACCAGCCCGCCACTGCTGGACATATGCCTGATCATCGTCGTTGGACCATCGTCTGACCTCCATCGTCTGTCGACTATGGTCCTTCCATCCTTAGTTGCCAGTCAACTACAATCCCTTCAAATACTGTGGCTTACCAATATGGGTCCCTTCGACCACCATAGCCCGTTGACTATAGTCCCTTTGACCTCCAGTGTTGCCCGCCAACTACGATTCATCTGACTTCAGTCACCTACTGACTATAATCTCTATGGTCACTGCCTTCATAAAATGATCCTCTCGACCATAGTCGCTGGACTATAGTTCCTTCAACCTCCATCGTCAGGCTACAAACTCTCTAATCACCGTCACCCATCGATTATAGTCCCTCGGACCTTTATCGCTCGCCAACTATGATTCCTTTTACCTTTGTCATTATTACAGTCAAAGATTTATATTTGGAAGAATTACATTTGTTTTTCATTCTAGCTTTTAACCAAAGCTTACCAATTTCTGGTGAACAACGATACGTGTTGTCCGGAACCTCATATCATAAGATCATTATCCTTTCTAAAAATATGTAAAATCATGTAATGAGCACATAACCCAACAAGTAATTAAAATTTTACAACTAAAATCAATATAAGATTAAAGAGAATAATATGAGATAAATCATATAAAAATATATATACTAATTATCTATATAAATTCATCATTCTATAATCACATCTCAATCCATTACATCATTAGTCACAGTATCATTAACAATCAATAATATTAATGCTAGTAACAATATTAATTTCATATTCAATGATATTAAATAATATTAATGGTAGTAAACAATATTAGTGTTAGTCACAATATCACAATATTGTTTGTAATATTGTCAGTATCAGTATCCAGATATTTAATGAGTGTAGTTTAAGGGCATCTTGTTCCTACACTTATGACACTCAATTAGTCTCCCCTTATAACCCTCAACTACTATATTCCTTATAACTCTCATTCTATAATGTGAATTAGTCTCCCCGACTCCTATAACTTCCAATCAATCTTCAACTCCTTATAACTCCTAATCAGTAAATCATGCGCATCAGTAGAATATCACGTGGAGTTATCATATCATATATCTTATATCATTTAATACTTTTATTAAAAATATAATAAAATTATAACAAATCATTTAAAATGATCAAATCTATAATATATCCAAACTTACACGATGAAAGCTTATGAAATCATGAGATAAGATAATATAATGTTTATAAATTTAGGAGAGATAAAATTCATAAAAATCAAAATTATTAAAAATAAAAATAAGAGATTAATTACTTACAATGAATAAAATAATATTTGTAACAAGAATGTCTAAGATATATGATCCAAAGACCTTTATCTATCATCTGTCTTCATCCCCTCTTTCAATTTCTTCTTGGGCAAGCAATAATGTGAGGGAGTCGGTGGGGGTGATATATATATATATATATATATAATTAGCCACCTGTAATGATAATTGATTAATTGAATATGTTAATTAATTAATTATATAAGTGATAATTTATATGATTAATGACCAACTAGGAATCATTTAGGGCAAAGTATATTGAAAACAACACATTAAAGCTAGATATTGAATTATTACTGTGATGATTTATATAAGCTCTGGTTGATTAATTAAGAAGATAAAATAAATAATTCTTCTAAATTTGATTCTAGGGCATTACAATCACATGTCGACTATAATCCCTCTGATCTTTATCGTCTGTCGACTACAGTCCCTCCAATCTCTATCACTCGATAATAGTCCTTTCTGCCTCAGACACCTGAATACGATCCCTTTGACCTTCGTCGCTCGATAATGTCCTACCTACTAAACAAATATGCCAATATTTTTTTGAGAACAACTTTCATGTCACTAGATTCTTTCAACTCTAACCATGTAATGTGTTCTATATGATGCATGTTTATTATATTATGCCAAGGCCTTCCTCGAAGGAAGAGCATCATTTATAATAAACTATAAACATTAGTATAATTATTTTAACTGTCCAAGCCCCATGATTTTTTTCTCTTTTTAGTATTTTTCACATAAAAATCTTCATATCTCTTATGACTCTCTTACATCGTTAGAACGCTAAACTCTCTCTCTCAATCACTATGAATGTTTCACTGTGCAACAATGATTATTATAAATTTATCTCAATATATTAGTAGATTGGTTATTTTTTCTCAAAAGGTATATTTGTTTAAGAAAATAGAGTCAGGGTTTCAATTTGTTTTTAAACGGGATAATTTTTTTTTTTTTTTTTTGGGAAAATTTTTGGCTTAGCCCGTATATTAAATACCAAAAAACAGAGATTACAAAAAAAGGGTCAAAACCTTGAAACTGGCCAGCCAAACTAGACAAAAAACCTTAAGGCAAGCACAGAAAAAAATACATTAGAAACCCATCAAAACCTGTAGAGAACAGAATGCCAAAACATATAGATGAAAAGCTCCTTAGGCCAGAACGTCCTGGACTCAGAATTGATAAACAAAATACGAAGGGACACGATTCCCTGGTTGCCCGAAGGTCGTCCAAGGGAGCAGCATATAGGAGCATCATCATCGTCCAGGAGGCCAAAAACCTGCTGCGAAATGGGAATAGCAACCCAGCCAGAACCAATTCCCAGCCTGTTTAAAACAATTCCAGCAGTGATGTTGAGTTTTTCCATTTGATCACCTTTTCAAAAACCACCTTTTTGATAACCAAAATAAAAAATATATTTACCATAATAATATTCTTATTTCGATACAAATAAAACAGTAAAATATTCACCATCATTTTAAAAATAAAATATTAAAATATTAAAAATTTACATGGAATAATAAATTTGACTTTGCATGCCACATAATTATCAAAGGATGCTCACTATTTAATTATTTGGAGACATTTGGCCAATTTTTTTTTCTTATAGAAAAATGACGGAGAGTGTTTTACATGAAATTACTCTCCCTATATAATAATATTTTGTATATTGAAATATGTTGTCTTTGAAATTGGTTCGATTTCAAAACTTTATTCAAAATTGATTTAAACTATTTACTATTGTTTGAACATTTGTTTGAAACAAGGTTCAAATTTGTGTTGTGAAGGTATGCACCCTATTGCGTCCAGGAGTATTCGTGGCGGTAGAGAAATATAAAGTTTAATGTCTTAGCGTTCTACGAAAATCCGGCACGCAATCAGATAAGAGAGAGGGTGTTACATTTATAGAAGACACCAAGATTTTTACGTGGAAAAAACCTTAGAGGGGGAAAAACTACGAGGCCTAGCCCAATTTGAATGAATCCACTATTATTTGCAGTTGATTACAAATGAGGTCCTTCCTTAGGGGGAAGACATGGGCTTGATGTATATTATATGAAGTACATTACATGTTGGGAATACAAAGAGTCACTTTTGACGTATTCTCTTTGTTGGAAGGACTGTAGTCGGTGGGCGACGTAAGTTAGGAGGACCGTAGTCGGCTGGCGACGGAGGTCACAAGGACCGTAGTTGGTGAGCGACATAAGTTAGAAGGACCGTTGGCAGCTGATGACGGAGGTTGGAAGGACCGTTGTCTCGCGACGGAGGTCGGAAGGACTGTGTCAGGTAAAATCCAGCAATGGACGGAAATCCATCATCATATATATGTCTGGCAAAAATCCGACATCAGGTAGAAGTCCGGCGTCGGGTAGAAACTTGGCGATGAGCGGAGGTCCGACGTCGGGTAGAAGTCCAACGTCAGTTGGCGGCCGAGGAGAACTATGACGTTTGATGGTATTCGGGTAGAACTCCGGTGTCACTTGGAGTTCAGGTGAAACTCCGGCGTCACTTGGAGGTCGGGTGGAATTCCGATATTGAATCCTTTGATCGTGGATAATTCGTCAGACATTTGAAGTTCTAAATGATGTCAGAATTCGGCGATCTTAGGCTCGTTGGATTCGTCTCGTAGAGCCGCTCGATTCGACTATCAGCATGTCATGTTTGGAAACCGTTTGGTAATCCAAATTGTGGTTCAAACCTTCCAACAGCACTTCAGATCCTTGATTTGGACTCATTTGGGCTCGGATCGAGTTGAATTTGATGTCGTTGGGTTAGTATTTACGATACGCTCAGTTCGACTATAAGTTTGCTGAAATCGGAGTTCAAGTGATCCCAGATTTAATTTTTAAAGTTTCCAACTTGATTTCCGCCTCGAGATTTCTGCCCGATCAAGTAATTTTTCGATGACATATCACACCCATTGCGAAAGAGAAGTGTAATATATGACGAGATTTTTTTCGGCAAGTTTTGACAACACACTCCCACCTGACGTAGATATACGTCCTCCCACCGCCAAAAAACTCGGTTTTTGCTCGGTATTGCTAGGTATTGTTTGGTAATAACGAGGAATATCATCATGTGAAGACCAATACCGAGTTATACCGAGCAATACAAAAAAATATCGAGTTTTTTCTAGAAAAAACTCGGTATTTTTTTTGTATTGCTCGGTATAGCTCGGTATAACTCGGTATTGGTCTTCACATGATGATATTCCTCGTTATGTTTGGTATTGCTCGGTATTTGCTCAGTATTTATCGTTTTTTAGCGCGATTTTGACGGTGGGAGGACGTATCTCTACGTTAGGTGGGAGGACCTAATAATTTTTCGAGGAGAAGAGGAGTCACAAATGGAATTTGCTGAGGTAGGCACACACGATTAACAATGTACAAATAAGCTCAATGGGAAAAATATTATGGGACGATAAGGTGCGAAGAAAAGAGAATTTCACAATCAGAGTTCACTCAAGCAGGTTAATAATGTATGAGGAGAAGAGGGACTCGTGACATAGAACTTTTATTATGTCCGGTGTAAGGACGTAGAGGAACGTCTGGTCGGAGGCAAAAATCCAGCCAAAAAACTCGGTATTTGCTCGGTATTGCTAGGTATTATTTGATAATAACGAGGAATACCGCTCTGTGATGACCAATACCGAGTTATACGGAGCTGTATCGAGAAATACCGAGTTGTACCGAGTTTTTTCTAGGAAAACTCGGTACAACTTTTGTATAACTAGGTATTTGCTCGGTATTGGGTCTTCACATGCGGTATTCGTCGTTATTATTTGGTATTGCTCGGTATTTACTCGGTATTTCTCGTTTTTTGGCCGGAATTTGCCTCTGACCGGACGTTCCTCTACGTCTGGTCGGAGGACGTAATAATTGTTCCGTGACATAACTCATTGGAGAAGGCATTGTAGGATCGATTGTTGTGAAGGTAAAAGTTAGATGACTATGATTCAAGTCATGTTCAAACTCATTTGGAATCAATTTTGTTTATGGTGAAAAGCTGAAATATTTGGATAATTTTATATATTATGAAATAAATAAAGTCAAATTTGTGTAAGGCTTACTTGGAAGTTATAAAAATAATTATATATCATAAAAAAAACCCGACGAAAGCCTAAAACCGAAAATTTATTCCCTCGTAGCTGCCGATGTTCTCCAGACTCTGTTCACTGGCGCGAAACTTGGGATTCATTCCGCCGCCCAAGTCCACCGCGAACTCGCCGCCGGCGTCCTAGTCTGCTCATCCATTTTCACTGTTGTCCTTCCCTTACACGAAAAATGGTCTACAGGTTAGCCCCATTGACTGATAACTTACAGATTGTTGGTCGTGGGTTTTAGATCAGATAGTTGTTTAAAAATTTGATAAACTTACTCTTTAAGGTTATGTTTGGTTTAAAGGGATTGATAGAGAGGAAATGAAAATGATAAAGACATTGAATCGGAAATTGTTTTCCATCACTTGTTTGGGCGAGAAATTAAATTTGATTTATTTTTCCTAATTTGGTTGATGCAAATGAGTTTTTTGCTAGGGTTGGGTAGGGAATTATTGACGCAAAAAATTATTTACTGTTTGTTAATTTATTTTGTTAAATCTAATTTCCGATTTCATTTGAATGAAGCAGTTCAACATGATGTTTGTACCAACTCAAACCCAACTCATTTCCCGACACCTAATGATATCTATTTTCCAACCCCTAATGTCGAAACTCTAAGATTTGCACTAATTAGACATAATTCAACATGCTTGTTAGAATGCCTAGTATGTATTCTAATATGATATGATGTTTGTGAATTGAGAGAACCACCATTGTCTCGCCTTTATTGTGTGGAGATTATAGAAGCCCGAATCTTGGCATTCTTGATCGAGTGATTAAGGTTAATTTAGTGACTTGGACTATTTAGGGATACATTAGTTGCTCTTATTTTTGTGAATTTTGTAAAAAACTAAAAATATCAATCTTTGGTTCACATATTTGTTTATTCTTATGCTCCCTCATTGCCTAGTAAACCTATATCAAATAACACATTCTTATTATGATTGGCCAGGTTGTACCTGCTTGGGGTCCATATAACAAGATATAACTCAAAATAATATGATATTGTTTGAGCAGCCTGTGCACAATGCTTGTTCCTGGAAGGCCCTTAAACAAGGCTATTTATTATGTTTGAAACTCAAAGCTCACTGAGCATTCACTGAAGTTTTAGTCAACTCCAAACCAATATTAATTTGCTTTGTTAGGAGGATGACTCAGTCAAAATTAATTTGATTTAACTCAAAATTTGTTTTTTAGGTATGCGTGCAAGTGCAGCGTGCGAATCTATATTAAAAGTACACATATATTATATTGCACCAATACACCTATTTATGAAGGCGCATTGTTTCCGATACGTTGATGCACACATACACCTTCGATATGACACTGATACGTGTCGGATATGACTTTTTGTATCCATTTAAAATATTATTTAATTTCAAAAGGATACACGTATCTGATATGCGTGTCCGTTGAAAAAAAAAATCCGAAAAGACGCGTCGTATTTACTTCCGAGGCTGCGAGCGAGGTTATCTCATTTCCGAGATGGATTTGAGTCTCTTGATGATATGGGAATATTATAAATTGCTAATCTTTTACTTGATGAGCCTAAATTAAAAGCTATGATATTTATTGAAGATGATATAAAAGTTGAAAGACAAACCACTGAAGAAGCTAATCATATCATTCCTTCTATTGAATATTTGAAACTTCATGTGCTAGACAATTTATGTTTATGCTTTTGTTGTTGTATTAGACATTTAATGCTTACTTTTATTTTGATATTATAAGATACAAAGCTACAAATGATGTTACTTTCATTTTTTTTTGGTAATTTCAAATATTATGCTTTGATTGCATTCTTAATTTTTATGTATGATTTATAAATTATAATGATGTGTCCGCGTTGTACCCGTATTATGTATGTTTAAGAATTGACATGTCCCGTGTCCGTATCGTGTCATATCCGTGCCGTCGTATCCATATCGGTGCAACATAGATGCAGGTTAAATATGAATTCAAATTAAATCATACTCCTTGAAAGGACTAGAGTTGATAAAATTTGAATTAAGAAATATGAGCATACAACTATGAAATTCATGGAATTATTTGATTTTTTAAGTTCACATTAGACCTTCAAAGCCCTATTCAAATTATAAATAATGAAATTTCAAGCTTAATGCTCTTATAATAAATCATAAAATCATTAGTTGAATCTGATCCTCTGCTGTTAAATAAACAGAGTTGACATGGTTTAAATAATAAAATAAAATTGCCTAAAACCTCAATTATAGTCATGGTGAAAATAAATCTCAACAGGAGGGAGTTAATTTTTAATTATAAAATCTTAACCTGCAAATACAATATTTTTAAATGACCTAAATGTCTCCCCAATGATAACTATGTTGAAAGTAAATCTCAATTGAAGTAGACTCCATCTTTTTAAATGACTACAAACTTCAGGAAAATATAAATATTTTTAAAGTGGCTTTAACTCGGATGATCACCTTATTAAAAGTGACTTTAAAATCACTCTGATAAGGACTATATTGGAAGTAAATCTCTATTGGATGGATCAATTCTCAACATCTATTAAAATTCAAATATTAAAAGTGAAACCAATCATCTAAAACTTAAAACAAATCAATCTACCGTTCACAACCATTTGGCTATGGCTTTGAATTTGGACTAACTTTAGCTCACAAAGAGTGAATGTCGAAACTAGAATATTACTAAGATTTATTCTCAAATAGCTCTTTTACCAATAAAGCCATGAAATGCGTCCTTTAATTGGTGGTTTGGCCTAAAATAGACCCATAGGTAAAAAGCTTTAATTGTGGTCATCTGATCGGGTGATTTTGTTACATATAGGTACCATTATATTACGGTCATAGCCAGATTCTATATGTTCCTCAGTGGCTAACACAATTAAGTAATGAATCATAGGGTATACTTGATAGGGCACAAAGTCTTTAGTTAGCTAAGCTCAACTTTAATTTATCATTTTGATAAATATTTACTCTAGGTCTACAAGGTCCCCATTAAACAAAGAAATTTATAGCTGTCGATCAGGATCTTTCGGTCCGGTTGGGTTGATTACATCTTCTGGCTATTTAGACCAGTGACTACGACCATTTGGGATGGCTTCAATGAGATCTTGATCGAGTTCGTCATCATTTTTCTCACCACCCCCTTCAAGTGCAATGTGATATATTTTTAATCTTAAATATTAAAATTGCTGCTACATATGCTAGGTATTTAGTGCCTATCCAACGAATAATTTTAATCGAAAGTGCTTTACCGCCACCAGGAGGGGTAATTAACTACAGGACTTGCGTCTATGGGAAATATTTACTCATATATGAAAGGCCTTGCAAATAATGGCGAAATCTTTAGGTAGTGTCTTACCTCCAATCAAATCTGACTTCTGAAAATGCGTAACCCATACTAATTAAAACTCTAGTCTAATATGCAGAGAGGCCTAGGTGCCAAATTTTCGGAGCCCATACCAATTTGGCTCAAAGGTAGGTTGATATTTGTTATTCACAACTATTATTCTATTTGATCTCTGCCTTTGGTTTGTTTTCAAACTCAAAGCTGTAAGTTCTTAATATTTTTCCTGTCCCTCAGTTTCAGAGAGTTTGATTAAGCTGCTTAAGCTGTAAAATATATGAAACCATAACATATTATACTCCATCCTCTGTAGGTTGTTTGAAGTGGAAGGCGTTGTGATTACAGTCACGCTTTCCGGTAATACTACTGCCGCCCTCACCCGCTATGCTACACTCTCGCTAGTCCCGTCTTCCTGCTTCTGCTGTTGCTGCCTTACTTATTTTGGCTTAAAGTCACTTCTACCACTCCTGTCATACTATTTGCCTGTTACTTCAACTCTAGTCCTGCACCTTTGCCTCTCTTGCTACTCCACTGTGCTGCCTTAGCTTTCCTGCTAGGCCACTGTGCTGCCATGACCGCTCTTGCCAATTCCTGAAGTTTTTCCAAAGCCTTACCAGTCACCGGCTCACCGCTTATTCACTTGCCCGGGTCCTTCTGCCACTTCTTTGTTTAAGGTTTTTTTATGTTGTTAGGTTGTTGTACGCTGTGAATAGAATCTCTGAAACTATTGAATAAATATTGAAATATCACTTCAATTTTCCTTTCTCATAAACATGTATGAATGACTATTTCTGAAGAGGGATTAATTTAATGGCATGAGGTGTAGTTCTTCCCCTTAGGATGATTTCTTTTATTATTGTTGTCTTTTTTAATTGATCAGTAGATGATTTTATATAGTGATTGCAATTTTATCAAGTGAAAAACATTTTAGGTTTTTTCTCTAAGTGTGAACTTGATTATTTGCTGATTTCTTTCACCTCTGTTTTCTTATGGAATTCATATTTTGGGCGATTGCTAAGTCCTTTTTTGAATTGAACAAAACATGTCCGTTGTTTTTACAGTGCAAACAACATTTTTTTTTTGTTATAATTATGCTGTTCCAAGATTGTATTTTTTGGGTGCTTTCATCTTGCATCATATTTTAAGACTACATCATAAACCCTAGATTCTTACCCATCCAACATCAAATTGATATCAAACCTAGGCTAGTGTCAATATGCCACTTGGAATTGGGGTGACTTATCAGGGTTAGTTGACAAATTGCCAATGGATGATTTCTAGCTAAACATTTATCAAAATCAATTAAACGTGTTATTAACAAAACAAGGTTAATCATGCACAACTATATATCAAATTAATTAGTGTCTTGAAAATTGAAAACTAATCAACCACACTCATAACCGGATAACAAATCTAACATAAATGAAGAACTCATCCATAAGACAATTAGGAGCATGAAACCCACCAGGAAATATATAATCTAGATAGACATTATAGGGAAGATGCCAATAAATTATGATCACCATCGTCAACGATTTTATCATGTTGATGAGAAAATAACTAGGAAAGTTAAAGCGGATGCGTCTACTTATGGTGGGTGGATTGATCATAAAGCCCTCTCGGATTAAGTAGTGAACATGAACCACTTTTTGATTGACAAACAATATCAGGAGAACAATAAGATTTGCAAAATTAAAACTTATGGGCCAAACAAGCCAAACAAAGTTTTATTAGGTACGTGTAGAATGACAGAGAATGCTCATAACTAGAAACTACCACTAGATATGGGCTGAAGTGAAAATATTATTATTAAAAAAATTCTTATTACATTTTATTGAGATTCTTTGTTCATTGAGAAATTT